GCTAGAATCTGTTTTTACGACATTATGTGTCGATTGCTGTCTACTACTTTTGCCTATTAATATCATACGTTTGGCAGATACTTGTGGTTCAGGAGATCAATGGCAGATTCAAAGATACAGGCTTGTGGAAGATGCCGACTGGGGTTGTTAATGAAGTGAGTACAAACAGGAGCAGAACTTTATCAATTTTTAATAAATATTTCAAATCATCTTCTCACCATGGATAAAATTGTCTCTATCCACAGGGTGAGGATATTTGTGCAGCTGCAGTTAGAGAAGTCAAAGAAGAGACAGGAGTAAGTGATAACTGATGGAATATAGTATCAACGAACAGGCTATCAAATTCCTGTGTAAATCTAATACCATGATTTTTTTTTCTTCTGCAGATTGAAACAGAGTTTGTGGAGATTTTAGCATTTAGGTGAGAAGCCTGCCTCCAGTTAAAGAGTCTTCTATGTATTTATAGATATCTGTGGTTTACTTGGTAGCAGCATGCTATGCAGAAGGCATCGTTTGTCATACATAAAATATTCTCTCTTTACATTGCTATGCGCTCGGCATCTTGGTAGCAGCATGCTATGTGCTCGGCTCTTCTCGTTTCAATTATACCTCTTTATATTATCTCTCTCTCTTTCTACAGGCAAAGCCACAAGTCATTCTTTCAAAAATCAGACTTGTTTTTTGTTTGCATGTTAAAACCACACTCCTCTGACATTGAGACGCAAAATTTAGAGATTGCGGCAGCCCAGGTAATTTTTGGAAGACGAAAAGTTCATCATACAATCTAGTCAAATGGCAAGAAAAACAGAAAGTTGCTGTCTTTTCTAAGTGTTATATAGCATCACTCAATGTAGGAGTCAACCGAAAAACATATGATGCTAAACTATTCTAATGTGTAACTTTCTGGGAATTATTTTCAGTGGATGCCAGTTGAGGAATATGCAGCTCAACCCTTCATTCGGAAAAACAAGATGTTCGATTATGTAGCAGAGATATGCTTGGCAAAATCTGATAAGGACTACGCCGGTTTTTTTCCAATGCGTACAACAACATCCTCCGGAAAAAGAAGCTACTTGTACTATAACAACCGGGACATGGCCAACATACAGGCTACCGGTGATCATCAGTAGAAAGGCTGATCAAACTCCATAACATAGTTGCAATAACAGTCACTGTGGATTCCTATTGTATAAAAATCCCTTCAAGTGCCTTCCGTTTTACATTGATGCCATGTCAATAATTGGTTCCTATATATTGATGTCATTACATTGCTTTATAATTTATACCGAAATTCCAGATACCGTGTGTATACGTCTCATATACGCTAATATTTTTAATGCAACTTGCTTATTCTATTTTAATTTTGTCATTGGTTGGGATCCATGAAAGTTTTGCATCGTACATTCCTGGTTATGTAAGTGGACTTCATTGCCTCAGTGAACTTTAATCAGGAATTAAGAGAAACTGATGAGCCAGAGATCCACTGGAGTTCCTCATATATTCTTTACCAAGTGCCTGAGTTTTTAGATAACATAAACTAAATATCATGTCACATTTTGACCCAAATGGACACAAAACTACAACACTACACTATTATTTTCTGAATATTTATTCTTATCTCTAAACAACAATATCATATACTTATATGAAATTGACTCAAAAACACCTGCCCCAAATGGTTTCAAAGCATGCTTCCTCCCTCATGCCGCCTTTGACATCAGCCAAAGTTTTTTAGTTGATCAATTAAATTTTTTTTCTTTCTGGGTTTTATTCTCTTATCCATTTAATAAAATAAAATGACAAATCCTTCCAGGGGAGGTAGAAACATTGATTAGGTCAACAAATATAAAAAATATAAATGAAAGCTGAAACTAGGGGCGAAAAAAACTGACCGTATACAGACCCAAATAGGTCATCCCTTCGTTTCCATTATAAAAACAAAAACAAATTATCCAAAACTACCTTGAATTTATTATGGGGAAGGCACATCCCATGCCTTTAATCTCGAGGAATGCTAATTATCTTTCTTTTTATTATTAAATTTTTTAAAATTTATAAAAAGCCAATAGAATCTTATTAGATTAGTACGAAAAATAAAAGGGAGTTTCACTAAAACACCCAAAATGGGAGTTGAAATTATAAAAAAACCCAAGCACTATTTAAACATATAAACACACCCAAAAGGTTGACTTTGGGGTTGATTTTGGGTGTGTTTCTATGTTTAAATAGTGCTTAGGTTTTTTTTATAAATACATGTCTAGGATTGGGTTTATTTATAAATTTGTAAAAATAAAAAGAGTACATATGATATAGACTATAAAGGAAGTTATCCTAATAACAATATGTCAGATATGGGTAAAAACTTCCCTGATGAGCCAGCTAAAAAGCTAAAACAATATGGAGAGAATCACTCTCGAAGAAAACATTTTATAACCCTTTTCTATTGTCATAGTTTCTCCGAATCTAGTCCAAAGACATCAAACATATAACTGACCGCTAATCGGCACGATTCTCCTAAAGTCTCTGAAAAATTATGAGAAGAAAAAAACACGACAACTCATAGAATTTCTAGACTTTATTTAATTTAATTTGTATCGCGTGTATTTCACTCCCACATAAATCTATGTATTTAATGCAAAGTACTAATATTTCGCTTGTAAACCCAAGTAAATTAAAGCAAAATGAATGGCTTTGTTAACGCAGACAACGACATGGCGCAGAGGAGTTGCACAAGATGACGTTAAAAACGACAAAAACCTGTCACGATGAAATACGCAAATGTTTATATGTAGAGAGCTTGAAAGCCATTTGAGAAACCCCATAAAACAAACTCAACAGTTTGAGTTTCCTTCCACAGTGAGTGAGTCCACAACTCCTCTGTTCCAATCACAAGCAATTCCTGTGTTCCATCCTTCCATGGCTCTGGTGCAAGGCAAATGGATCAAGGTCTCTTCCCTACTTCCCTTTCAAGTTTCAAGCTCTGTTTTAGATCATCATTTTGCAATTTTTTTTTTTTGAAATGTAACTCAAATTGTGATGAAATCTTGATTTCTACTGTTTCAACAACTGGTAATCCAACTTGTGTGGTGCATGTTCTTTTGGGTACTGCAAATGTTGTTTATTTTATTTATTTGCTCAGGGGACAAAAAACAGTTTGGCCTCTTGGGTTAAAGATTGGGTCTTTTTTGCATATTATCTTGGTTTTGCCCATCTTCTTTAAAATCAATGAAAACACTTAAAAATCTCCTCTGTGTGCATCAGTTTTAACAGATGGGATGAAAATTCTGTACTTGGGTTAGATCTAAAGCAGATTATAATCACAATTGGTATGTAATTTGTTGTAACATGTGACTTAGGAAGATATTGTTAGGTCATATTTTTGTGTGAGAGAAAGAGAGAGAGATTTGTAAATGTGGTACGAACAGTTTTATTCATCTTATTTGCATTTGCAAATCTTGTACTATTGTTTTTCAGCTTGATCAAAAGGGAACTGGGCCTGGAGCAAGAAGCTCACATGCCATTACCCTAGTAGGACAGAAGGGCTATGTTTTTGGTGGCGAATTCACGCCACGTGTCCCCGTTGACAACAAACTCCACGTGTTCGACCTCAAGGAGCTGACGTGGTATGTGATCGATGGAACCGGTGATGTCCCGCCACCACGTGTTGGTGTGACATTGGTAGCTGTTGGACAAATCATCTATGTTTTTGGTGGTAGGGACTATGACCACAACGAGCTCAATGAGCTCTATTCCTTTGACACATCTACAAACAATTGGACCCTAATTTCTAGTGGGGACATTGGGCCCCCTCATCGGAGCTACCACTCCGTGACCGCCGATGACCGCCATGTGTATATTTTTGGCGGCTGCGGTGTGGCCGGCCGCCTTAATGATCTATGGGCCTACGACGTGGTTGATAAAAAATGGATCCAATACCCAAAACCGGGTGACAATTTGAAGGGGAGAGGCGGGCCTGGCCTGCTAGTGGTCCAAGGGAAAATATGGGTTGTGTATGGCTTTGCTGGAGAGGAAGCTGACGATGTGCACACCTTCGACCCAGCCCATGGTGAGTGGACCCAAATTGAGACAAGTGGCGAGAAACCAACAGCTCGGAGTGTATTTTCTACAGTAGCAATCGGAAAATACATAGTTATATACGGTGGGGAAGTGGACCCTAGTGACTTGGGCCACATGGGCGCCGGGAAATTTGCTGCCGAGGTCTATGCACTGGACACAGAGACATTGGTGTGGAAGAGGTGGGATGATGGGCTTGGCTCGGGCCATCATCCCGGGCCTCGCGGGTGGTGCGCTTTTGCCCGCGGTCAGTGGGATGGAGAAGTGGGCCTTTTGGTGTATGGCGGAAACTCACCAACTAATGATCGCCTTGGTGATATTTTCTTCTTCACTCCTTATTTGGAAGCAAATGGTAAATGATTAGATATGGTGATGCATGAGAGTGAGAGTGGTGATGTTAGCTTAATGTCATGTACTGGAAAATGGAACTATGGGTATGTATATTTGTGTGTAATAAGATCTAGACATGACTGTGTGTATGTCAGAATAGGGTTGTATTTCCTCTTCTGGTTTCTCTATTTTTTGTTTCTGATTTGGTAGACTTCAGAACCCATACGAATCTGATTACAATTTGGCCTCACACCCATATCAATCTTGTTACTGTTTCGTTTTGGAAACAAAAAAGAAACAGGTTAAACATTGGAGGATCTTCATCTGTTTTGATACTACCAATCTTAATGTGAAGTTGTATCTTCCAATTTGGTTTTATTAAGGAAAAGGTCTACACATATTACAGTTATATAAATTATTTTGAAAATAATTATTTGGTCTAGTGACATAATGTTTAAGGAAATTGTAAATTTCAGTATCGTTGTTGAATAAACAAAATTACTACGGTCTGTCATTGAGTCCAAGCTAGTCTTTATGATCCCCATCCTCTAAGACATAACATATTGAATTGTTGTCCATTTTAATAAGTTCATTCTCAATACACCAAACGACACCCATAACTGTAATTGAAATAGTCCAGTCCAACCCATCAAACGTTGAATATGTATACACCCTACCTTAATTAACCTGCAACTCAAATTTTAATAATATGCAATTTAATTGTAATACACAATACATTTTTTACATTAAATTATTTTTTCGAATAAAATGAAGAATCTTTTTTTTTTCTTTCCAATTTTCCCACAAACAAGGCCTCTCCAGCCAATCACAAAAGAAAAACCACAACGCACAAACTCAAAACAACCATACCCAATCTCCCACCGTCCAATCCCGCGACTCCATTCTTATCACTATCAGCCGTTTGATCCTCCGAATCATCAGATCCCGGCGCGTCTGCAGAATCATCCGGCCCCTCCGCCACCTCCTTCGGCGCAGGCGAGGTCTTCACCTTGAACAGCTCCGTCGGCTGCAAGACCTTGTTCACCTTGTAAATCACCAGAGGCTCCTCGTCGATCAACGTCCCCGTTATCTTCGCCGTCACGACCTCCGTCTCCAAGCTGACGACCTCGCCGTCATTTTGGACGGTGAAATCGAACTTGTTGGCCTTGTCGGTGGCCAGCGTGTTGACGAGGCCGTTATTGGACTTGAGCATCTGGAGGGACTGGTACACGGGGATGCCGTGGTAGAGCAGCAACGACACCTTTTGGGATGTCGTTAGGTTTTTGTACTTGGGGAGGAAGCCGTTGATGACGGCGTCAGTTGGGCAAAACACCGTTAGGCCTCCGTCAATGTTGGTCTCGAAGGTGGTGTCGGCTCCCGAGGAGATCAGCAAGTCGGCGAAGGCTTTGCAGCCTTGCTTTGATAGGATCGCCGTTAGGTTCAGCTGGCTTGGCCCTGCGGTTGGCGCCTCGGCTTCCGCCGAAGTTAATACCTGAAACGCAGTCGTTTCATGTGATATTGTTAAACGCAGTCGTTTCATGTCTACGCTATACCGTACATTTGTCTAGTGGCCAAAATGAAGTGTACCAAAGCAAGTTGGAATTCTATATTTCTTAAAATCAAACAAGAATCAAATTCCCAAGATATGTTGGGAATTTTTGAGGTCTTGTTGGGGAGAATTCATATCCTTTGCTTAAGTATCTAATAAGAATTTGAGTTGAGAACTTCTTAACATACTGAGTTTACCACTACACATTATAACACATTTTACACATATGTATGTATTCTATCATGTTATGGTAGCATATTGCCGGTGTAAATTTTTTGCGGATTTTTATTTAAATGTGTGATTCATATTCACAGTTTAATAATATAAATCAATAGATAGTGTTAATTTTGATCTAGTAGTATTAATTAATTTATCATCTATAAGGTCCATTCCTATCCCAAAATGATCCCAAACCGTTTACCTGACTGATTTGCAAGACGGAGATATTGTATGGAATCTCCTGCACAGACTTCACATAGAAGGAATTGAGCTTCCCATCATTGTCTTGAGCTCCGAAGCCGACTTTACCGCCCTTGAGGTTGGTGATGTTCACGTACCCCGAAGTCCCTGCCGCCACCCCCGTGGCCTGGAACATGCTGCTAGCCAAGGTGGTGCCGTGGGTGATCTGGTGAAGTTTCTTGGCACCGAAGTAATCCACAAGAACATGGAGGGAGAGCACATTCTTTATGGTGTAGACAGGAAGTCCTTTGGAGAGGAGGGAAGACATGGCAGCATTGTCGATGGCGAGGACGGTGATGGTCTGGCGGCGGTTGATCTCGGTGGCGAGGTGGGTGAGTGTGAGGTAGTGGTTGAAGGAGGAGAGCTCGGGGTGTTTGGCGAGTATGCGCGTAATGTTATGTGCTTGGGATGTGGAGGAGAGGAGGAAGAGGAAGAGGGCTGAGAGGGCTAGGGTGGAGGTGAGGGCTAGTGGGTGTGGCATTGTGGAAATGTGGAGGAGGGGAAGGGGAGTGGAGGTGGGTTTTGGGCAAGGGGGAGGAATGGGAAGAAGAAAGAGATTGTGTGCTTATATGTGATGAGGCTGAGGACTTATGAGTTATGCCAGCTTGGTTTAGGTAGGGGGTGAGGGCATATAATATTTTGATGGGTCCTTCTTGTGATGATGTATTGATAATTGTCAGTTGTGAATTTGAGAGAATATATTTGGGGATGAAATTGATCAGGCAGTTTTCTACCTATAGACTGTCCCTATTGTTGGGTCAAATTGAAATCTGAAGTTGTGATTGATCCATAATGGTTGAAGCATGAAAGGGAAAGGGACCACATGATTTATCAAATCCTCATTAAAAGAAAAAACCAGAGCAAAAATGCAGGCAGTTCAATTAATGATATGCAAATTTTCAATGCACACTTATTCTCAAGACCAAAAGATTTGTGTTAGTTGTTGGTACATGACTTTTCAAAGATCAACCTTGTTTAAGTGCATAGAATGTGAATTAAGGACTTTTGCATAGTCGTTTAAAATGTAAGAGTAGGGTACCTCTATATCCGAAGTACTGTGTTCGAATCATCCCTCTCTGCAGTGTTGTTGATATATATTTTTTTAAAAGACTTTTGCTTCCGATGTATAACTAAGTTCAAACAAACGGGATGTCAAAATTAAAAAGATTGAAGCATAAGTCAGATGATTTGAATATAAAGTAGATGAAATGGCAACATCAGTGTCCTCATGCATATGGCCAAAGAGAAAATTATGCCCGTGCATGAGTTGATTAAGCATAGGGCCCCTGATTAGCATAAAAAACAAAGAGAAAGGGTTTAATTAAGCAAACTACATGTGTCGGCAGCAGTGTACTCCAGAAAAGCCAGACTGGTTTGAAGAGAGGAACTTGTTGAGTTTAGACTACATGGACAGCGATGGCTGATCCCCTATAGAAAAATAAAAATAATAAAAACATTTCAATAATATTATGATGGGTAGCATTTTCTTTTCATATTCCGTTGGATCCAGGCTGTTCTTGTTTGTTTTGTTTGATGGTCGCAATGTCGTCTCTTTACATGATAAAATTGATTATTCTATTTGTTCTCATTTCCCATGTTCCGACAGTCCATCTCTTGTGTGATTCTTCATAATGCAAACTTAAACATCATTGCACTTTTTGATTAATCACATTTAGAGGTAACACTGCGAATAAGTTTCCGTCTAGAAGAATGAGACTCATAAGAACTTATTTGAACTCAATTCCAATACAGGCCAAATCGAGCCACCAAATTAGAGCATTTCCAATAGATATGTCAAATTGCCACATGGACATGAAATGACAAAAATTCAAGTTAAAGTTGCTCCAACGGAGTAGTCAAATCCTACACGGATTTGAAGGCTGTAAGAAATATGTCAAAAATAACATATCAAAAAGCTTGATGTCAAATATTATTTTAATATTTTTTTAGTTATGGACCTCATTATCATTTACTCTCTTTTAAAACTTAATGCATTATATGGGTTATATTTGCTTTTAAAAATATAATAAAATAATATGATATTTGGTATTTCAGGTGGAGTTAAATTTGTTCCAAAGTGTCAAATTACCACATAAACCATCAAAATCAAATTTAACATTTAACAGTTGACATCCAGGTTGGAGAGTGAACAAATAGCAGTGAAAAAGTAGGTGGTTTGCTTTGCTTGTTTAGTGGTGTAGGCATAAATATATATGTGTAGGATAGCACCATGCATGACTTCAGTGGTGTATGGGGCACACCATGGGATACTAATTAAAAGGCCCAATTTGTTCAAAGAAAAACCACAGCAAATGAAAAGGCTTTTCCCATCTTTCTTCTAGGTCCAAATGGGGCAGAGTGACAGTAGAGAAAAGAACCAGAAACACTAATATCTTCTAGTGAAGGAAATTTGCATCTTACTCTTTTAGTTAACAATTTACTTTGCTAGGTATGTAACTATATATATTATACACACTTTTACAGTCAGTTTTTTTTTAAGAGAGAAAAGGGATAATCGTATTTATAAATTAGGCACAAAGACCATACATGCAAATACAAATACTCATAAAGGGGTAATACAAATATGAAAGCACATTAGTTACACACGGTTAATTCAAATACAGGCCATATAAAGTTAGAAAATTTTTGGCATAAAAACCGCATGTCTTAACAAACCAAACATAAATCGCAGTGCCCAAATCTACAAATACATAGTGGCGGAGCCCTTGGCCCCCCCCATTTTTTTGACATATCTCCTATATTATATAATGTAATATATATAATTTACTGAAAATGTGTATGTTTGTTTTGAAAAAAATATAATTCAATAATTGCCTTAAATTACCTTTATTAATAGGAGTTATTTTCGATTAATATGGGCTGGTTTTCTCAACTGATGTATTTGCTGCCTTTAAAGCCCACCAACGTCTCTTTTGTGTTTCGAATTCAATTTGTTCTTCATTTACTATTGTCTCTTTTGTGTTTCGAATTCAAGTTGTTCTTCATTAACTATTTCTGGGAGTTTACTAATACTGGCTTTAGAACTGCTACTGTTACAAGAGTTTGTTCTAAAAAGGTGACTCATTTGGACAAAGATTACTGGTTTTTCGGGACAATCTGGGAAGGCTATGTTTTGATTGGGTTCATAGAACCTGAGAGGCTTCTGACTGATTTGCCTTCTTGCTTACTTGGTTCTTTTCCTGCCATTTGTTTCCCTGTAGAAATTCGCGATAATTAGAATTAAGAAACTCTGAGTCTAGTGAAATTGAGACACCAGTAACAAGCTCAGCATACTATAGTTCCTTAGATTCCCAATCAAGTTCCCCAAAAATCCAACTTGGTTGTAGAGATAATTGTTGTAATGTCTTAACTAAGTCAATAAAATTCCTTACAAAACAAGAAGAGCAAGAAGAATTATTAATTGATTTAATTAGTAAAGTAGAAAATCCAGAATTAAAATCAAAATATTTAAAGAAATTAAGAAAAGTCATTGGTAAGGAAGAAACATGTCAACAGTGTTAGAGATTCACTTTTGGTTTGAAATTCGATGATCTGTATTCAAATAGAACTAGAGTATTTATACAAGTGGTGGGTACTTGGTCTCCAAGTACATTCCTATTTGGGTACAATTACCTATAATTACATGGAATTACAATATCACAATAAAGGGAAAGTAAATCACAGATATTGGAGTGCCTAATTGTGTGCAGATTTATCGCCATCTCTATTATCCCCCTGCAAGCTGATGTGCGAAGAGCGCAACAGCTTGGATTTGAGAAAGGCAAACCGAGGAAGTGGGAGACCTTTGGTAAAAATGTCAGCCAGCTAAGTATGGGTGGAGACATAATGAACATGCAAGGAGCCAGCAAGGACAAGTTCACGGACATAATGATAATCCACAACAATGTGTTTGGTGCGTGCATGAAAGATCGGATTAGAAGCAAGAACAATAGAGCTTGTGTTGTCACACCAAAGCAAAGGATGTGAGGGCAAAGAGACATGTAATTCTTGTAAGAGTTGTTGAATCCATGAGAGTTCCATAGCAGTGAGAGCCAATTGACGATACTCAAATTCGGTACTAGAGAGGGAAACAGTGGACTGCTTCTTGGAGCTCCATGAGACAAGGTTGGAGCCAAAGAAAATACAATATCCCCCTGTAGAGCGACAATCATCGGGATTTCCAGCATAGTCGGCGTCAGAGAAAGCAATCACAGAAGAGTCACCAGGACGAAGAACAAGGCCATCATGAGAAGTGCCAAGAACATAACATAGAATACGCTTGACGGCTTTCCAACGAATATCAGTAGGTTGATGTATGAATTGACAAACTTGGTTTATGGCAAAGAAAATGTCCGGACGGGTGATGGTGAGATACTGAAGCGCGCCAACAAGACTGTGATACTCGGTGGGATCCGAGAGAGGAGAGCCATGAAGAGAGCTAAGTTGAGAACCAGTGGCAACCGGATTGAGACAAGGATTAGCCTTATGTAAGGTGGCCCTTTTTAGAAGATCAGCCGCATATTTGGCTTGATTCAAACACAACATATCCGGAGTACGGTGGACCTCAATGCCCAAAAAATAATGAAGATCCCCCTCCCCCCAAAAATCTTTCATAGCAAACTGACGATTAAGAGACTGAAGAAGGGTATGAACCTGTGACAAAGCATTACCAGTAACAATAATATCGTCCACGTAAATCAAAAGGAAGAGAAAATTGTCATCTTTATGAAAAATGAATAAAGAAGGATTCGCCTTGGAAGCCGTGAAACCTGAGTGAATAAGAAACTCAGAGAAGCAGGAGAACCAAGCACGGGGAGATTGCTTGAGACCATAAAGAGATTTCCGAAGGCGACATACATGATGAGGAAATTTAGGGTCTTTAAAACCGCGGGGTTGATGCATGTAAACCTCTTCAGACAAGTAACCATGAAGAAAAGCATTAGTGACATCAAGCTGATGGATGGGCCATTGACGAGAAAAAGCAAGAGAAAGAATAATGCGAACAGTAACATGCTTAACAACAGGACTGAAAGTTTCCAAGTGGTCAATGCCATATTGTTAATGAAACCCATTGGCTACAAGACAGGCTTTATACCGTTCAATGGAACCATCTGAGCGACGTTTGATACGGTACACCCATTGGCAAGGCAAGGTATGGCGGTGAGGGGAGGGAGGAACATGATCCTAAGTATGATTGTGATGAAGGGCTTAGACCTCTGTTAGCATAGCTTGGCGCCATTGAACCGATTTGTTTGCTTCTATGAACGAGGTAGGTTCGATATCAGATACCTGTGAAAAAACAAGATTTGCATATTTGGGATTCAGTTTTCTAATCCCATCTCTCAAACGAGTGACCATGGTATGGGTAAGGGGAAGGGAGGGGGGCGGGGATGACTCAACCGGAGATGCGGGGACATCAACATGAATGACCGTGGGCAGAGGAGGAGGAGAATGAAGAGGCTGTGGGGAAGGAGATGGCGGGGATAGAGAAACAACGGGGGAGGAAGACATGACTAAAGGTGGAGAGGGAGGCACCGGGGATGGAGGAGCTGAGGAAGTGCGAGGGAGAGCCTGAAACGGAAAAGTAGATTCATCAAAAACAACATGACGGGAGAGATAAACAC